CATTCATTCAAAACATAACAAAGTTGAGCTACTCGTAAAAATGTTCATAGAGATATTCGTCAGGATTTCCGACCTTCATGCTTAATAACTTCATCATATTTATCGAGATACCTTATGACTTGGAAGTTAACATAAACAAAAATTTTAGCACAATTAAATGAATAACAATAAAACTAACATCTTCCTCGACCCACTATCTAAGTTTTCTATCCCAAACTGCAGTTAAGTTTCCACAAGGTTTATGAAAAGAAAACCATTCTGATTTCTGAATCAAAGGAAAATTTAAATCAATAGGTATTTACTTTTTTACAACAGCAGCTGTACGACCAAAAAATTAGACCATGTAATATCTGGATCTGTACAAGGTTGGGCATTCCAATTTCCATGTCAATTTTCACAAGCTTCTCTGTTTTAACATGAGTTTAACGTTATAAACGCCGCTTTTTTAGGGATTTTCTAGTTTTAACAATTAATGGCGACGTAGATTTAGCTCTGTGACAGGGTAGTAATTTACGAGCCAAAAGCCGAGAGCTCGAAGGGAGAATGAAGTCCATCTTAAAGAAGACAAATAGTCACAAACAGTCACAAATAGTCTCTCATGATAAAGATTATAATATGATAGTCACAAGATCGGTGACCTCTTCTACCTTCTCCGATATTGAACACAATGACACTCATAGAGAGTCTCCGAGGTAATTACATAAATGTTGAACTAATTACAAATACAACACGTTATACGAGCGATGATCATAAATGAGATGGGAATATTTTAATCAGTTCTAACTCTGACCATAACATGGTATCGTAAAGATGCGCTTTATAAAGTTATAAGCACAAATAGGAAAGAAAAAAGGGAGAACATGTTTCCAGAAAAATTACAGACAATGATTTTAGCAACTTTAGGACACAAGGAAATGTTTCAAAGGTCTGTTGTTATAAAGTAAAGAATTGGCAGCCAAATAAAATCGGAGTCCACCATTTAGTTAGGACCAGTTTCTGTATTTTTATGTGTAACTTTGAGACAAAAGTCAGAAAAGACCGCACAATTTGCAAAGATCTTGCCCGCCCCAACTAAATGGTGTCTCTAGCTAAAGTGAATTTCTTCAGACGAGTAACCTCTGCCAAGTTACTCAGTTTTAGTGTAACTGGTTTCCGTAGAGATTAAAATAGTTTAGTGATTTTTTACCAACATTTCGTTTTAACTTATATACAATTTATTTTATTTCCATTCAGCTTAATTAGGACAATCTTGGTGAGCTAAATTTTGTGACTGCCGCATGACGTTGAATTTGAAATTGAGATTTTCAGCGATCCATCATTCATCGTCCATCTGACACTAGTACTATTTTATCGGTCAATTTCATTCGGCGCTATAATTTTTTCATTTTTTTGATAAAAATAATGCAAAGTTTTCTTGATAGAGTTACTGATAATTGAGACCTACAAGGAATCAAAATAGATTATATGACCCCTGGAAGAGAGTATTCGATTATAAACGCTTAAAGTATACCTGTGTTAATTCGTAATAGAATTTTAATAATATCAATAATTTGATAATAATAGTTTCAAGATTGATATGGTCACCTTACCTTTTTTAGTAAGCTACTTTACAGATCCACCAATGTATACAAGTTAGCAAGTTGAGTTCAATTACAAAAAGAAGAAAATCCAAAATCAATGACAGAAAAACATATAAAATTTGACTTTCTAAACTTTTATTTCCGACTAATTCCTAAAGCTTGCTTGCTAAAAACCTGGGAAATTTAAAGTTTGTCCCAAAAGTATAAAAGAAAAGAAAACCAACTTGGGGAGCACTGAATTCGCGCCCTAAGCATATTAGCATAATATGATATTATTCGTGGTTAATTTTTGACCATCTTATTAACTCTTTCATAACGAAACACGAACTGCCATGTGATACGCGCAAAATCTAATTTAGTTAAAAATTAGCTTTTCTTTTTCCCCGGTGTGAATTCTAATAAAATAATATTGAGATTGTAGCCGCATCTTGAACAATGCTCACTGAAATAATACTGAACCGGAACTTTTTAGTTATTTCTCTTTTATTAATCGCTATCTACCATAGTAATGTTATTGTTATATTATGTTATATCAATATGTTCTATTATGCTATTTGTTATTTTTATTACTTACCGTGCTTAAGTTTTGTTATTGAATACTTTTAAGGCGTCTTAAAAGCGACCGCCAAAGCTCTTTGGACTTAAAAACTACCTTTCGATTATTTGATCCAGCCGGTGCAGTTGTTGGTTGACAAGGTATTTTTCTTTTTTGCCTAATTGCTCAATACTATTGCTACAACTAGGAGTTTCCTAAGAGTTCCTATAATTGTCGTATCATCTGGTTACAACTTTACAACTTACTACTAGTTAGTTACAAGTTACTACTATTGTGTTATAAATACGTTAACAGACCAGCGGTGGTAACTTCTTGAGAAAAGAAACTGAAATTCAGGCATATCTTTTATCGACCATTGTGAACTGTGGTTGACCATCATAATTCTTATCAAAAGGTTAGCTGCTAACTTGACCTTTACATGGTGGTAAAACGATCATCAATGGCGTACTGCAGAGCAGGGACAAAAGGATTTCGCGGTTATTTTGGCCAAAAATAGCGGCACCGCGACAAGCCAAACTAGGCTAATTCACGGCTAATTCGCGGCGGGAATTTCGAAAATCGCGGCATATTCGCGGCAAAAAATCGAAAATCGCGGCAAATTCGCGGCAAAAAATAATGTATTTACATTGCTTAGTTAGAGTTCACATATTCTTTGACTATTCTATTTGATCGGCTCATGTCCCATGAGGATGTGATCTCATCATATGATCTGATACAGGCTGATGGGGGTCCATAACAACAAGACCTGCCATAACTTTTGACATGATCTTAAATGTTGCAATGTCATACGTACTGTTTGACATATCTCGTTATCGATACTACAGACGACAGGAGACATCATAATTCGACCATCTACACTTCACAACTATAATAGCAATGGAATACTACGAACTTTTCAATCCAATTCCCATATCCCTACCTAGTCTATCCCCATCTAGTATCCAACCTCTACCCCTTGAAGCTTACATCAACCTGGACGACATCCTTACCCCGGCCCCCTGCACGAACCTTATAGAAGTTCTAACCACATCCCGAGGGGAGCCCATGATTGTTCCTTATGTGGTCTACGACGAGATTACATGCTCTACAAAATAGCTTCCCATTGTCAGCATAAAACGATGATTTGCCAAATTCAGCCACTCTCATGGAAGCTGTTACATTGCCCTGTTTAGCCTGTTTCGAGCGTTTGCTAGACGAAGGTCCAGCCTGTTTGTCGGCAGGCCGTTTGACAAAGCGGTCCATTATAACAAGCGAATACAATACCAAGCGAATAACGATAACGTTATCGATGACGAAATATCTGACAAGTGACGATTCAATAACAACACTGATTTAACATACTGTTCGATTTCTTAATCCATTGTATGTCTTCTGGTCAACTTTATGTCGTTTGGTCAAGTTTTTTATGTCTACTGGTCAACTTTATGTCGTCTGGTCAACTTTATGTCGTTTGGTCAAGTTTTATATGTCGTTTGGTCAACTTTATGTCGTCTGGTCAAGTTTTATATGTCTACTGGTCAACTTTATGTCGTCTGGTCAAGTTTTATATGTCTACTGGTCAACTTCCATATACGATCTCGAAAGGCAGACCTCCCCTTCGCAATACGAGCTCGGAAGCGGGAGCTCCGCCTTCAGAGGTACGTATCGAGAATGACTCGGACCGAAAATCTTCTAAGTCAAAATTTTTCAAAGTTTTTCTGGAAACTACTTTTGTTCATGTTTCATGCTACCCTGATCATTATGAGCCGAAAATATTTTTTCGGTTTTCAAAGTTCACACATACCCTTCGATACACGATTTTGGACTCGAGGGCTCCCCTTGTAATGCGATCTCGGAAGGCAGGCCTCCCCTTCGCAATACGAGCTCGGAAGCGGGAGCTCCGCCTTCAGAGGTATGTATCGAGAATGACTCGGACCGAAAATCTTCTAAGTCAAAATTTTTCAAAGTTTTTCTGGAAACTACTTTTGTTCATGTTTCATGCTACCCTGATCATTATGAGCCGAAAATATTTTTTCGGTTTTCAAAGTTCACACATACCCTTCGATACACGATTTTGGACTCGAGGGCTCCCCTTGTAATGCGATCTCGGAAGGCAGGCCTCCCCTTCGCAATACGAGCTCGGAAGCGGGAGCTCTGCCTTCAGAGTTACGTATCGAGAATGACTCAGACCAAAAATCTTCTAAGTCAAAATTTTTCAAAGTTTTTCTGGAAACTATGTACTTTTGTTCATGTTTCATGCTACCCTGATCATTATGAGCCGAAAATACTTTTTTCGGTTTTCAAAGGTCACACATACGCTTCGATACACGATTTTGGACTCGATGGCTCCCCTTGTAATGCGATCTCGGAAGGCAGGCCTTCCCTTCGCAATACGAGCTCGGAAGCTCCGGAAGCTCGGAAGCTCCGCCTTCAGAGGTACGTATCGAGAATGTACCTACAATCGGAACTCACGGAAGGCTGTAAATGTGATTAGTTTCATATACTTAATACTTATAGAAAACGTGACATTTGGCCCGCAGATTTTATGGAAAATACGCAAATTTGGTCCTCAGATTTAAAGGAAAATGCGCAAATTTGGTCTTCAGATTTTAAGGAAAATGCGCGATTTTTCGCGGAGGACTGAAAAAATCGCGATTTGTCGCGGAGAATGGGAAATTTCGCGATCTGTCGCGGAAAACGTAAAAAATCGCGATTTGTCGCGGAGAATGGGAAATTTCGCGGTTTCGTACATGCCGCGAAATCCTTTTGTCCCTGCTGCAGAGTTATCACACATCTATAAATTGCAGTATGAGTAACAAAACAATTGAGATATTCGAAAAGATCTGAACCTAATACCTATAGCTCAGTAAACTACAAAAACTTACATCTTCGTCGACCCCTTCCCTCAATCCGAGAGAAGTTAGCTTCCCCTGTGCCAGGCTCCCCAATAGAGCAGGCTGGAATGTCCCCAGGTATTCTTCCAGCGCTTTGTCGTCCATATCCGCTAAACTGATGTGTGGCTCCAAACCGGCCTTACAGTTTTCCGGCCCGAGTGCATATTTCTGATGAAGGGTGCTGTTGGGATCGAGGTGAATGTCTGTTGTTTTTTTAGTTCCCCCCTCGGCACTGTTTGATTTGCAGCAGGGGGATCTGGATCCTTCTCTAGCACTGCAAGGTGATCTCGATCCACCTCTAGCACTGCAAGGTGATCTCGATCCTCCTCTTTCACTACAAGTGGACTTTGAAATAGATCTCCCTCCATTTTTGGGAGAACTAGAAGGAGAGTTTTTTCTTGATAAGTTTGGGGTACTTTTCTTTGAGAGGGAGTCAAAATACAACATGTCCCCGGTGGAGTCGGCCTTGGTGTCCTTCTGGACAATGGACATAGTGTTATTAAAGTGAAAATTTAATCACAAGCTACCACAAAGATCAACAACTTTAAGGCAGATAATGAATAAACTAATAAATATCTATATAGTTAACAAAGTTTTAGAGCACATGCGTGACGGTTGATTTAGAGCCATCCGTTGAAAACCATAAAGTGAATCCGACGGGAAAACGGTTTTTAGACTAGCTTATTAAATACAAAGGATAGTTAAAAACAACGCATAAGTCTAATATTCCCCTAGAACAAATAACTAAATGTCAAAGCTAAGACTAGTGCTGTCTTAAATAAGGAAATACGAAGCCGATAACAGACGGTGAACAAAAACTCTTAAATGCAGCAGATATATGTTGATTGAGCATTATATAAAATGATCATGTTATGAGAGCACTAGAATTGTGAATAAACATTGTTCGATTGCATAAACAAAATCAAATCATCTGTTGAATGTTGATGGCATGTCTGGTCAATCGTTAGAAATTTAATGGTACTGCATTCTCAGCTTTGCAATCAAACGGTTCACCACTAAATGATAAAACGGCGGTTTTGTCGTTTCAACGGTCATATTCGCGTTGAGGGCTCAAGAATTGTAAATTAACATTGATCAATACGTGCACTAGTACACAATTGCTCTGAAAGTATAATCAGGGCACTTTTAGATGGCACCTTTACTTTACAAGGCACTTTTAAATGGCACGCATCTGATTAATAATTAGAATTGTGATGGTAGTGCGGCGGTTTGTTTGTTAGTGCAGTATGTGGATATTACTGGTGGGATGGTGGAACATAGTTCTGTTTTTTTTCTAGAATTAACCCTACAATTTCCATTCTCAGTTGATGTGAATCTTCTGTGATGAACATTTTAATATTGTGTGATCATGCAGCCATTCATTATTTATCAGTTATTTAGGAAAATGCCATTCATTATTGGAAAGAGCATTGGGATACTAATAGCGCACGATCAAAACAAAGGTGATATTATTTCGACTTTCCTGTGTCCAGATATTATCGAAAAACACGTTCGAACGTGCAAATGCGCTAATTGCACGTGCAAAATTGCATTTTAAATTCAACATTCCCAGCCTCAGGGAGGTGCCACGATTATCATTTTTGACAAGGTGAAAATAGAACTACTCGAAATTGGTGCTGAGTGCTAAGAGTTAGAAATCATAGGGAAACTTTTAAAAATCTTTAAACATTGAGCCAATAAAATATGCATCACGCGCTTCCTGCAATCCCACATAGTTGCTATCATTTATCATACCCAATTAATATACTCAAGTGGGGAGGTAAAACATAATTATTCCGGTACACATAACAATGATTGTTGATTTTCATTGGTCAATACTGGAAACTGATTGGGTAATCGCAGTCACGTGCAAGGGAAATATGTGCCACCTCCGTCCTCCACCAGTATTCAGAGCTATTACTTTGTTAATACTTTAATATGCCTTACGGCTTTCTGGTGTTTGATCGATATAGATATAATAGTTGACAGATATACTAAGTAATTTTAAATATTAATTTATTTAGATACATTTGAATATGTTTAATACATTTAAAAGTTTCACTATGATATAATGTAGCCAAAGCGTCAAATAGTTAATACTTAATATATTACGGTCCGTCGAATGCAAATGTTTGATATGGCCGGATGAACTTGAATAATGGAAACAAAATTGTATCGACATTTAGATCATAGTCCAGTATAATGTAAAGAAGTTATGATAAGGAGGCTAGGTATTGTAAGGAGAGCTATAACTAATGTTATGCAACTTAAGTGATCAATGATTCATTTTAATTAATATAATAGAGCAAGGGAGTGGAGGTTTATAGTCATTAAAAGTAAGAATTACTTGTCTGTATCTATAAATCGGCAAAGTCACGGACTTTCTAAGAAAAGTTTCGTTCATGTGTATTTAATGATTCAACAAACGTTTCTAGACGAAGAAGCTTTGGATGATGACTAAGATTTTAAAAAAGATGGACAATGATTTTTATGTTATTAGACAGTAATCGCAAGTTAACACGAAAAATTGTCACCTCCTGCAACGAATACGGCTATAGATATAGAGTAACATATTTGGCACATACCTAGCTGTATTGCCGATATCTTTCACTAAAGAAATTAAGTAACGGAATTTTTTGTCATTACTTTAAATAATTTACTTTAACTAATATGCAGCTGACGCAGTAGCTACATGAGTGACCACAAATTAGGTATTTGGCAGTACGTAGCTCCCTCGCACTGATATATCAGTGAGCAGTGAGCTATGGTATTATAATGTCATTATGCATGCTTCATCACATCAAAAACTACTTGTTTATTATCATGATGGTGGTTCAAATGTTATGAATAAACAATTCATGGTCCTATTATTATACGGAATGCGCTCTCTGATGTGCCAACTATGAACTATAATAAACAAGCTCGTGATATCGATAAATACCCTGCCAAAATCCCCCTCAAAGTCGAATACTTGACGGTTGTTTGTTCGTGAACTATTTAAAGATTTGAGTATTTACACGGCCCAATTATAGTGGCCCACTACAATTATAGTGGCCCACTACAAGCCTATTATCAACGTGAGTTCCTCTAATTAGTAATTGTGTGATCGGTTGACACCTGGCTAATTACTGCTATTATAGGGGTCATGCTTTATTCGTACTTACCTAGCAGTCAATACAGCCTCTTTTATTAAAGGTGAAGTTAATCGAGGGGATTTATGTGTGAGGGAATGAGGGAACGTGTGAGGAAAGGAGGGAATATGTGAGGGAATTAGGGAACGTATGAGGGAATTAGGGAACGTGTGAGGGAATGAGGGAACGTGTGAGGGAATGAGGGAATGTGTGAGGGTATGTGTGAACGTGTGAGGGAAGGAGGGAATGTGTGAGGGAATGAGGGAACGTGTGAGGGAATGAGGAAACGTGTGAGGAAAGGAGGGAACGTGTGAGGGAATTAGGGAACGTGTGAGGGAATGAGGGAATGTGTGAGGGAATGAGGGAACGTGTGAGGGAATGAGGGAATGTGTGAGGGTATGTGTGAACGTGTGAGGGAAGGAGGAAATGTGTGAGGGAATGAGGGAACGTGTGAGGGAATGAGGAAACGTGTGAGGAAAGGAGGGAACGTGTGAGGGAATTAGGGAACGTGTGAGGGAATGAGGGAATGTGTGAGGGAATGAGGGAACGTGTGAGGAATGAGGGAATATGTGAGGGAATTAGGGAATGTCTGAGGGAATGAGGGAATGTGTGAGGGAATGAGGGAATGTCTGAGGGAATGAGGGAATGTCTGAGGGAATGAGGGAACGTGTGAGGAAATTAGGGAACGTGTGAGGGAAGGAGGGAATGTGTGAGGAATTATGGAACGTGTGAGGGAAAGAGGGAATGTGTGAACGTGTGAGGGAATATGTGAGGGAATGAGGGAACGTGTGAGGGAATTAGGGAATGTGTGAGGGAATTAGGGAGCGTGTGAAATGTGTGAGGGTATAAGGGAATGTGTGAAATGTGTGAGGGAATTAGGGAATGTGTGAAATGTGTGAAATGTGTGAAGGAATGTGTGAGGGAAGGAGGGAATGTGTGAGGGAAGGAGGGAATGTGTGAGGGAATGTGTGAATGTGTGAGGGTTTATCAGGTAGTAGTTGTGCGAAAACGAGGTCCTCGAATCAGTAGTTTGTGGCGTGGACTACGTTATAGTATGTAGTTTCAGCAGTATTAAAGTTATCTAAACTGCACTTAACTTGTATGATCAATATGGTTATCGACTAACTAAACCATGCAAGACATAGCATGAGACCTGGATAATTTATCGATTACTGTATTTAGTTTTAATGCAGGTTCGCTTCTTGGTTCAGTTGACTTTCGCTTTCACTGTCGACTTTCGCGGCTCCAGCTATACAATTAAAACACACATGCATTCCCAGCTGTGCAAGTGAACCGAACCAAGAGACGGACAGAACCTGCACAAAAATCAAGCAGCGTAGCTGTTCATTACATATTCTTGTAGATCGTCAGCAAAATACAACTATGAATCATAAATAAGAACCAGCTCTTAGAATAAAACCAAAGTTTAGCGAGGACAATCTTTAGAAAATAGTTGTTATCTAATGTCTGACCAAGCCAGCTTTAAATATAAAACCAAATTCAAAGTTTAAGGATGACAATTTTTGAAAACGGTTGTTGTCTAATGTCTGACCCGGATTTGAACCTTATTGCTTTATTGGTAATTGGTGGACCAGGGCCTTCTCCAGGAAAAAATTAGTACTACGAATCTAAATTTCATGCATGGTTAGATATTCATAAAACAACATTGGATTCGGAATCAGCCACGAAATGAAGATGAATAGTATTCAACATGTTGAACCATGTAGGGAGTATTATAATATGCTGCTGATATAATCTTATGAAGTATGTTTTGAATTTGTTATTAAGGCTATTATAGTGGTATGTCTAGACAGGACGACATACCGACCCTGCTGTGTGTCTGTAAACTTAAATGACCTTTCGATTTGTGTGATTATTTTGAGAAATTATGTTTTTTTGGGGATGGAGATGAATTTGTCTAGCCAAAAATGGCATTAAACAGCTGACTAGGAGTATGGTGTAAAATAGGGTGCACGAAAGTTGGGTTATACTGTTCTTCTATCAGTATTTGGTCTATCAGTCAGGATGTCTGGTAAGCATACGTCTTGTATATATTTACCAGATAAAATGTTAAAGTATTTAACGTATTTACTATATTTACAACCCCCGCATGTCAACTATCAGAATATACTGATGTCTGCCTACAATGAGTCAAACACTAAATGTTCAAATGATCCTGCATTTACAGAAACAGAAAAATATCGTGACCGTCTTACTGTCTTACAATCAGAAGATCAGCATCCAAAAAACAGTGTATTACTATTATAGATAGGCAAAAAAGAAGAAACGGTGTTTGTCTGCGTGTGTATTTTGTAAAGACGGTGCCTTTAAAGAAATAAGCAGCTTTACCTGCGAGGAACGTATCCGTTCCAACTCTTTGAACTCCCTGAATAAAACCCAATGTTATTGGCT